TCTTTCTTTCTTTCTTTCTTTCTTTCTTTCTTTGCAAGGAGGGTGTGTGCGCCCACGGGAAGCCCCCAAAACGCTTCGCTCCTGGAGAAGGGAAACGCACTTGGGTTCTGCGCTCTGTCCCCTTCTCCCCCCTTTCCACGTACTTAGTTCTCGCCTCGCTCCCCACCCCCCGCCCCACCCCATCCGCCCCTTCCCTTTGCAGAGTGTGATTGTTTTGTCTGGAAAAAAAAATCCAAAGTATATAACAAGGGGAGAACAGTTAGTGCTGATTTTCATTTGCATACATTTTCATATATTTTGGTGAAAATAATAGACTAGTGCGAGCTGGGCTTAGAGGACTCAGTGTAAAGGGAAGGCTTAGGCTCTGACGGTGCTGGAGAGTTAAGAATGTGCCTTCCCTCCACCCCCACCCCAGGCACCTTATTTAAAAAAAAACAAAAAACACCTTCTTTTATTTAAAAAAAAAAATCTAACCTTGGAAGTTTGCTCGGTAAGTGTTTTTCATTTTCTTTCCCTGCTTTCTCTTTCTCTCCCCTTCCTATCTGGCGTATTTATCTATGTTCTTGTAGGTGTGGGCGCTATTTTCATTGCTTGGGACAAGGGAAGGTTCGCAGACCCGCTGTCTGGCGGGCGGAAGGGAAAGTGTGTGTATGTGTGTGGGGGGAGTAAGAGAAATCCAACCCTGCTAAAATACTGCATAAAAATATGGACTCATTCCAAAGATCCGTAGAGCAAGGCACTTTACTTTTGGGGTGTATGTGAGAAGAGTGCTATTAATTTTAATTGTTGTTCATGGGGGGGCTGCAAAAGAAGGTGATTATGAAACATGCACTGTATGAATGTTTCTTGCTTGCATTTTTTTTTCTCCCAGAGAATCAGGATTCTAGGGGAAGAAACCCCTTTCTGTAGCTAGTGGTGATGTGCTTAACTGTGTGTGCCTGTTCCAGTGGGGTGGGGGACTCACGCTGGGAGCTGGGGATGGGGGGGTTGGCACAAGGAGGGCAGGAGCTAGGAAAGGAGGAAGCTGGGAGGGAGAAGAGCAGGAAGTCAGCGCACCCCTGGCTAATGGGAGTCTGGGGGGAGCAGGGGGAGGTGCGGCCTCCTGCTTGCTCCATAGTGAAAGCCCATCCCCAAAGCCAGTGATCAATCAAAACTAACCAGTACATCCCTGTACTTTATTCTCCAAGGAGGCTGGAGCTTCCGCACTGAAACTCGATTTTACTGTGTTTTCCATTTTTGACAGCCTAGCCCCCCCTTTCCCTCCCTGCCCCGGGTCGCTGGGATCTGTAAAAGCTGAGGGTGTGATTATTTACCAGGAGCAGTCATTAGACGAATATGGCTGAAGGAAATAGCTAGGCCAAGTCCAAGCCAGTGTGAGCAGAGTCTTACTTTCGTGAAAG